CATCTGAAGAGATCAGAAGCAACGCTGACAGCCACTGAAAGGGAATCATTTTATACTCCATTCCTGTAGTTCATGCTCCGTCTTTGGTTTCTGAGCAGGGGAAGGTAGTGATGTTGTGAGCATGGCAAATGTGCAGTGAACAACTGCTTTAGGACTGGGGCTGTGGTTGTATTTGGCTGTGAAAGGTTTGTCACTGGCGTGGACAGGCAGCTTCCCTTCATCTTGCAGCTTGGGGCACTTGTGTATCCATTCCTCTTTAATCACTGTTGATCATTAATTTGGAAATGCCTGTGTTTCTTGTTTGGTTTTTATTTCACAGCTGGCTGGTACTTCATGAACAGCTTAAGCAGCAGTGTGAATTCTCCATCCTCCAAATCAAAAAACTTATTGAATGAGCTTTTTGAAGATGAACTGCAGTGGCTTTGTTTCAACAGTTTTACTTTATTTTCAATGCAGAATAGAGCTACCCATCTATCTGTGTGCAGCATTGCTTCATTCCTCCTTCCTCTCCCTGGACAAAAATGTTGTACTGCTTAGGGAGCATCGTGCAGTAACGCAAGCAGGTGGTGCTGCAGAGCAGGAGAAAAGCACTTAATTCTGTGTAGGAATTCTGTGTCAGAAGTCTGCATCCAGAGCTGTTTATCCTCTTCTTCATTTTCCAGTTTTTGTGTCATCTTTCTTAAACTAAGCAGTCGAACAGTTCTAGGAAATGCCCACTTAGCCATAGTCCTTCAGTCTCACTTCTTAATGGGCACACCTGCTGCTCAGATATGTAGTGTGGCTGTAAGGGATGAGATGATGCTGGCAGGATTTTGGGAGTGTTCATGTTGACATCATAACGGCTTTGGTGCCCACTGCTGATGCTTCTACTGCATTTCAGTTTGAAGATGGTTCTTGAAGTGCAGTCTTTCATTGTTCAGGTCTTAAAAAAAGGAAATTAAATGATGATAAGGCTTTGCTTAGGACAGCAGAGATCTGACCTAATCCCCTGGAGCGCTAAAGAGTCGTCATAAGCCTGGTCTTGCTGTACTACTGCACTTGCAAGACAGTGTGCTCCACACGTGTGTTACTGTGCACTGAAATGTCAAAGCACAGTGGGTATGGAGGAGGGTCTGACATTTCCTTCCCATGTTCTTGCTTTCATGGGCTTTGGTTACACCTTTATGGGTCATTGAAAATAATGGCAGATTCTTACATAAGCTGCATGTGGCAAGAGGAGACTCCAGTCCTCCATGTTATCAAATCCAGCTTTTCCTCTTTAATTTCCTTTTTTCTTTCCCTAGCCTAGCTTGTGTGGGACACTGGAGCTGTTATGGTGTCAGCAGAAGTGTTTGCCCTTTAAAGACATCCCCCATTATTTTTGGTGGAGCAGCAGGCCGTACGGCGCGTCTGAAGGGCAGGACGGCTGACCCGTGGACAACATCCTCTGCCCCTTAGGAGGTACTGACCATTTTGTGCTTCACTACTTGCCATGACCAAACAAGTTGCTAGACCAGGCTGTCTGTGCAGGTGAACTACAAGTAGCACTGATGGTGGAGTTAAACTCTGAGATAAGAAAGATCTGGAAAATGTTTTTATTGGCAAAATGTGAGGGCTGCCTCCTCTCCTCCCACGTGGAGGTTACTTACTTGATGTGTATTTCTGAAAGTGACTGCTCATGGCTGTGTTGGTCACCTCATGAAGACTGTGGAGGTAAGGGTCCTTCATGAGTCTTGCTTATGGATGTGACTCAGAGTTGAGGTAGGGGTCCTGCATCACCTCTAGTCTCTAATTACAGAGGTCCTGTGGTGGATGATGGCTCTGGCTTTGACTCATTTAGGGTTCCACTATACTGGATTTAAATTAGGTGTGAGCTTCCCAGTGTGACCCAGTCAGGCCTTCTTGGTGTGCAAGAAATGGTGTATGGATCATGAGGAGTTGTCTCTATCAATGTTGTTCTTTCTTTACATGCTGACACTGTTAGAAGGACCAGATAAGACCAGCAGTGGTGGGCTGGCATCTGTGCTGTGGAAACTGTGGTGTGTGGGTTGACTTGCCAGGTTCAGTCGTGGCTGTTGAAGAATAGTTGCTTCTGCCTGTTGGTAGGCAGTGAAATTTCCCCCTCTTCATTTTAGTTCTGGAGTTCTGCTGAGACTTCTGCTAGAACTGGTGCTGTGTGCTGGGATAGATCCTATGACCATATTGTGATAACTGGATTAAATTGGAGCACGGTGCTGCTTACCTCTGCTGCAGGAGGCCCTTTTCTCATTTCCTTCTAAAATATGAGCAGTGGGTTGCTTAAACTGTGCTAACTTGGCAGTGTTTTTATGCTCTGCAGTACAACAGTCAGTGCCTAGTGATGTCAGGACCTTCTTTTGACTCTAAAGCGGCTTCGGACCTTTCTCATCTGTCACCTCAAAGGTCATTACATCATTCTTGGCATTTTCCTTTGGATTCTCTCCTTCTTGATTCTTATTCAGAGTTGTTCCTTCGCTTAGTCTTGTTTGGAGTCTGATTTATTGGGAGTTCTTGGTGGGTGAGGGAAACAGGCGAATCTGTACCACTCACCTCTGCCTTCTGGAAGGGATGGATTGTTCAGAGAGATTTCTGTTCAGTACATCAGTGGCTGTAAGTTGCATCATCCTTTTGTATGATAAGTTGGTCAGCTTGAGACTGGAGACCGAACTGCTGGGTGTGTTCTTTGGTAATAATTAATTTGAATAAACGGCTCCTAACTGCTCAGTAATTGTGTTTGTAATGGGAAGTCTCAGCACTTTGCTGTAACTTATTTAAAGTGATTCCTCCGCAGGTTTCATGGTTTTGTTTCTTTTTTTCCACCTCAGTGTCTGCTTTTCTGGTGCAAAAAGATTGAAGGGAACAGACAAGAAGCAATGTGGGAATTCAACTTCAAGTTCAAAAAGCAGGTATGGAAGCTCAGCAGTTGTGAAAGAAGAACCAGAATGGCTTTGACTTGTTTGGAGAAATAATGATTTTTCTGTGTGGTGGAAAGGAATGAGGAAACAGTTTTATGGGTTCAGACATTAAATGAAAACTCTGAATCCTTTGGTAAAACTAAAATATGTCCTGAAACTGCTCTTAGTTTTCAGTCTGTATTACCAAGATATTTAGAATCTTGCGTTTTTATTTTTGGTATTTCTTTCGCTTGTTGCTCCACTGTAAGATGTGAATTGTTTTTCAACCCAAATAATGTAATCTTTGGATCATGGTTTCTGACTCACCAGAAAACAGACTGAATAGTCAAATAGTCCACATCTGAAACTTCTTTATATTGGAAAGATTTCCACAAGAAGTGAAGGAATGCCTGCTAGTGGAAAGCCTCCATGGGTGGTTCTCAGGCTGCTGAAGGCACCCTTGGGAATTCTGCAGCATTCCAATCCAAAAAAATAGTCCTTCAAATTCTTTGTTCTGAGTGCTGGCTTTCTGTTACTCATGTAGCACTGCCCAGGTGTGTGGGAATGCTCTGTGAACCTGCTGGACAGCATTGGTCTGAAGAAACCAAACTCATCATAGATTCCTGCTTGGCTAACTGTCTCTCTTTTTTTCAAGTCTCCCAGATTTAAGAGTAAATGTTCCAAAGGTCTTCAGCCACCTATTCAGTATGAAGAAGTCCATACAAACCCCGACCAGGATTGCTGTCTGCTGCAGATCACCACCTTTAACTTCATATTCGTGCCAATAGTCATGGGTATGACGTTTACCTTGGTAAGTGTTTGAGATATCTACCACATGATCTTTGCACGTGCAGTTTCTGAAAGGGGAGAGAGAGCTCTTCTGTGTTGTGTAAACGATACTGCTCCATCAGTCAACCAGTTCTGGAAATCTCAGTGCTAATTATCAAAGGAATTGCTATCAGTCTCCTCAGTTAAGCTTCTGCGGTCTCTCGGCTCTTCTCTATTCGATGCAGGAGAAGTGATTTGTGTAGAGCTTCAGTAAGAAGCTGAGTCTGTGTGTGCAGCAGCTGGGAGCAGAATAGTCACTACCCCAGTGGGGGAACAGGAGGTGGGATGCAGGAAAATGGAATCTCTTCTTGCCTGAAGGCAGCAAATTCTGAGAGCAAAACATGTATGACCAACATTCTGCAGTGTGTCTTCAATCCTTTAATGCAAAAAACCAGCAGCTTTTGAGTTAACCCCCACAAATTCATTTCCATACAGAACTGTTGTGTTAGAAAGCAGCAGAGCAGGTGTGCTAATGCACGGGACAGCACATGTGTCTGTTCTTGTAAGTCTGAGAGGTGTGGCCAGTTCTCTTATCTGGGGCTTCCAGCCACAGGGAACTGGTTTGGAGTCTAACTATTGCAGCGCCTGTTGTAACACAAAGAAGTAATTTTGATACCTAGTGGTAGTGATTAGTCTGCAATCACACTTACCTGGAAACAAATGCATGTTTCTGCATGTCTGCCTCCTCCAGCACCTCCGTGTGTCTCTTTTGCAGTTCACCATCAACGTGAGCACAGATATGAGGCATCATCGCGTGCGTCTGGTCTTCCAGGACGCCCCTGTTCACAATGGCAAGAAGCCACGCCTTGACCAAGGAGTGCAGGTGGTGCTGGACCCCGTGCACAGCGTCCGGCTGCTGGATTGGTGGCACCCTCAGTACCCCTTCTCCCCAAAAGCTTAGTGCTCCCTGCGCCCACAGCAGTGACCCGTCTGGCAGGCTGAAGGAAATTTCCCAGGAACCAGGAAATCCTATTTTTTTCTTAAATAAATTCTGCAGCCTCTTTGAGAGAGTGGTTGAAGCTGCTGAGCTAGTGTGTATGTATATAACTTCTGGTCAGTGTTGAGCTGAGCTGAGTGTAAAGCAGAAACTATTTGTAAACACTTTTATGTAAAATTCACGTTTTATGATTTGAAAGGAGCTCCCTGGAACTGTTCATTTAAAATCCTTTTGGTGCTAATGGAAGTGGTTGTGTTTTCTGTTCTTCAGGAAGAAGTGAGAAATTTTGCTTTCCAGCTTGGATGTGACCAGAAACAATTCACAAATGAAGTCCCTGATTATTTTTTTTTTAATTGGCACACGATTGCATTCAAATGCAGTGTGATATTTCAGTGTCTGAGATGCAGTAAGCAAAGCAGCAGTGTTACAGGAATGCTGATTCACAGTCCATGTTTGTGGATGTTGTTTTTTTTTTTTAAGGCATAAACAATCAAAGGAGTTATTTCAAAGAGGATTTGTAAGGCAAAGGTTTTTGAATGTAAAGATATTCCAAGTTCTCACAGTGATGTTCTACATTGGAAAGAAGATCTAGACTTCTAAAAGCAGGTTTTTCAGAGAAGACAAACAGGGAGAGGTGATGCAGGTTGTGAACTAAAGTTACTCGAGCAGTTCTAAAGGACTCAGGTCTGGGCTTTTTGTTAAGGCCGTGGAGCAGCATTGGCCTGTGGGCAGTGGAAAGCCCCGGAGCAGACAGATGTACTTCTTAACAAAATAATTGTCATGAGGAAGAAGCAGCCCCTGAACTCTGCAGCTGCAGTGGCTCTGGATTATTTGTCAGTGTCACAGAGCAGCCTGACTTGGAAGGGACCCACAAACCTTATCCAGTCCAACTCCAGGCTTCACCAGTACCAGCCAGAATCCAAACTGTTCAGATATTAAATGGAACATCCCAAATTCCTTCAACTGCAGCAGCTCAGGGCTGTGCTCCCTGCCCTGGGCAGCCTGTTCCATGTCCACCACTCTCTGGTGGGGAACCTTTCCTTAACCCCCACTTGACCCTCCCCTGGCACAGCTCCGTGCTGTCCCCAGAGAGAAAAGATGTGTGAGAAGGGAGCGGTGCTGAGTGTGGGTCTGATGGCAGTGCAGTCTGCTGTGTCCAGAGTGAACTGAGCAGGAAATCCAGCAGGTTTCACCTCACTGCTGACAGATGCAGCAGGCAGAGGACATGCTGGAGTCCAGGTGAGCAACTGCAGGTAGTAATGAACCCTGTTCTGAGTTTTAACATCAGGTCTCGTCTCAAGCAGGAGTAACTAAGCACCTCCTTTCTGCTGGCCAGCTGTCCTGTTGGGCAGAGCTTTTGGAAAACAGAGTGACTGGAAGGAATGAGAGTTCAATTTAATAAGCAAATACCCTACAGTCTCCACATAGCTACCTGGCAAGAGTTTCTTGTATGCATCTCCACTGCCATGTAAATCACCACCAAGGGCATCTAAACCCAAACCTGGATCTGCGTTAGACTCTGTGATGTTGACTTCAAGCACATTTGAGAAAACTCCAGCTTCAATTGTTGCTGAACAAGTACACTGAAACTGACATTAAGTTGTGAAATGAGATTAGTGAGAGTGCAAGAGAAGCACTATAACTGATAGCAGAGCTGGGCTCTGTGATAAGGGAGCCTGCAGCGTGTGATAGGATGTGCTGTGCGACTTCAGGTCGGGTGCTGGGGGAAGGGGATCGTCTAATCTTTGTGCAGCAGTGTGTGAGTATCAGACCTCGTGGTGGCCTTGGTGACAGTCCCCTGGTGGTGGACTTCGTCCAGCAGAAGCTTCCAGCAGCACATGGCTGTGCGCTGCTCTGCAGGGCAGTGCAGGAAGCAGGTGCAGGGGGGGTGTGGGGAGGAGCTTCCTGCAACTTGTGTTGTGAGGGTTGGAGATTGAAATACTCATAGGTCCCTAACCCAGAGAACTGCCTCTTCCACTCCAGCCTTTTTCAATATAGAAACAGATAAGAACAGCTTTGATTTTTTTTTTTACAAATTATTATTATAATTCTTTTGTTTGCAAGCATCCCAACACAGCGTGGGGCTGACATCCCGTCCTGCAGGAATGGCTGTAAGTGCTCCCATTGCCAGGTCAGTAACACCACATCCACAGCCTGGTGTGCGGGGCCCTCTTTCACCTCTGCTTTGTTCCACTCAGGACCTGAATAATGCAGGGCTGTAAGCTGATCCTGAACGCCTCTCGGGTTTCCCCACAAAGCTCAGAGAGGCTGAACCTGCAGCTGCAGCACTGAGTGGTGGGATGCACTGTGGGGCTGCTGCCCTGTTGGGTCCCCTTGAGCCTGGCCTGGCTCCTCAGTGCAGGCAGCCTGGGTGTCCCACAATCCAAAATGCAGTGAGGATAAGGCCAGGCTGCGGGCTTTTGGGGTGGTTGGATGTTGCACATTGAGCCCAAGCAGCCCTTGGGGTTCATGGAATCATTCTGGTTGGAAAAAAACCTCTGAGAACCCCAAGTCCGACCCCGCTGTGCCTGCTGACCACAACCCACAGTGCCGTATCTCGGCAGCTCTGAACACCTCTGGGGATGGTGATTGCCACCTCCCTGAGCAGCTGTGCCAGCGTATCACCGCTCTCTCTTAGAAATTGTTTTCAGTATCTAACATCACCAGTCACAGGGATGGGGTTGGACTGGGAAGGGCTGACACACAGCCGCCCTTTCTGCTGCCCTACAGCACTCCCCGCTGCAGGCCCAAGCCCCGTTTCCCGCTTCCTCCCACCGGGGCAGGAAGCGCTGAGCCCCGGTTCCTTCCTGTGCAGGACAGGAGAAGGGCTGAACCGCGTCCTGCAGCTCGTAGCTGAGCGGCCCTGGGCCCTCCTCAGCTGGGAGCATCCCTGAGCTGAGAAGCAGGGCCTGGCTGAAGGTAGGGAGCAGCGCGGCAGCATAAGGGGAATGGGAATGGAGAAGGTGGGGAGGGCAGTTCAGCAGTGGGACACATCTGCCAGGGCTGTGCCCTGTGCTGCACTATGCTTTGGGTGTGCAGGAAAATGGGGGGGAAGGGGGTCCTGGTGCCACCAGCTCTGCCTGGCTGAGGTGCAGCTGCAACTCAGCAGCCATGTGGCTCCCAGCCATGAATGGGAGCAGAAAAGCAGCCCAGCTCTGTGTCCCGGCCACCCTGGCAGGGTGTTTCTCGCTGGGTTCCCCCACCGGTGCTACTTGTGAGCAGATCTGCAAAGCAGTTTGGGGTGTAGGAGCCCTGGGGGTCCTCCAGTGGGAATCCCCATCCCAGGGGGGAGGGCAGAGGTGCCCATTCCCAGCTGCTGGCTTACCTGGCCAGCAGACGCTCCTCCTCTGCAGGAGAGGCCTGGGTGGGGCTTTGAGAGCCAGGTATCGGAGCCCAGCGGGGACTCTGCCAGGGCCCAGCACCCCACGAGCCCACAGCCACCCCACGCACCTGTAAGTCTGTGCTGCCTGGGTGGGATCGGGCGCCGTGTGGGAGCCTTCACCCTCGGGCTGCACGGGGAAGGGAGTGTGGGGAGCCCGGGGTTGAGAGCAGGGGGTTGGGGCTGCTGTCAGCTGTGGGGCTCGGATCAGAGTCACGTCCCTGTCACACTGCCCACAAAGAGCTCTCTGTGCTGCATTGACTTAAAGCTTTGGTTTTGGGTCCCGCGTGGAGAAATGTGCTTTTTCCCTTTCTTCCTCTTTATGGGATGAGCTTTGTGCCAGGGGATGCACGGTGTGCAGGGCAGGGCTGCCCTGAGCCGTTGGGATCGCTCACCCCAGGGCAAAGTGCTGCCCTGATTTTTCATTTCCTCTGCTCCAGCTGCGTGAAACCACGTCTGTGTCTGCTCTGCAGGTTGAGCCCCAGCTGCTCTGCTCCCAGCACCGCAGGCAGCCCCTGCAGCAGCAAGGCCACAGCATTTCCTCATTCTCCTTTCTCTTTGCTGTGGGAAGAGCCCACTTGGCCAGGAGGCTCCAAACAGGAGGGAGCAGCGTGCTGGGCTCCTGGCAGCTGGCTGTCCCCAGGGGGCAGTTCTTGGGGACACCCCTGGCAGGGTGCTCTGCCCAATACAACCCCGTGCTCAGGAGGAGCTCGGCTGCGCTGTGTTCTCCACACTGGCAGCCAGGGATCCCTTTGGCCATCCTCATTACCACCACGAGCTGCCCAGTGCAGAGCTGGGGGCTGAGTGCCAGCTTACCCCGAGGCTGAGCTTCCCCGTGCCATGGGGGAAGGTGAGGCTGGGAACGTGGGAAGAGCTGACTGCAGGGCGGTGAGCACTAACCTGGGCCTGGGAGGAGATTTCAAGTGGGTTTCAGAGGCAATTGCTTTGAAGAAACGATGACAACTAGAGTACAGCCAGTGCAGCATTTCCCATGTCTCCTTCCCTGACACCACTTGGCCTAAGCTGGAAGGAAGCAACTGCTCCCAGATGGGGAGAAAATGGAGTCATCCCCAGTAATGTGATGCAGCTGTGATCAGCTAAGATATCCAAGCTCCCAGGGACCCAACTCAAGAGAATGGGGTGTAAGAACAACCCTTAATGAACATCAGAGACCACTTGCAGAGTTCCTGCAGCCCAGCTGGAGCAGACGTGACTCATCACACCCAGGACAAAGGGCGAGCTCAGGGCAGCTCCATCTGATTTTAGTGCTTATCTGAGTGATGAACGTGAGGTCAGCTCAGCTAGGATAGCAACAGCTGCTGCATCGAGGGGACGTGCTGTGTGTCACCCCATTAAGGTGTTAACACCTCCCAGCAAAGGATTTCTGGACCAGAAAATGGATTTTCTCCTTAAAACAGTCTGTTTTCTGCTTGTATTTCCCCATCAGTGCTGAACGAGGCTGTTTTCCCCAGCAGTTGATGTATTTAGGAGTTCTGGGCAGCTCTCAGTTCTCGCTATGCTGTGTCTCCACGTGTGGCTCACAGATGCTTTCAGCTGAACACAGGTGCTGTGAGTTGGGATGCATGTGCTGCAGCTGCAGGGCTGGGTGCTCACCTGCACTCTGCTTTCCCCCTTCTAGGGCAGACCCAGTTGCATTAATAATGGAAAAACCCCAGGTAAACTCAGGAGCCTTTTAGCCTCGGTGCCACGCCTCTGCTGCAAGGAGAAATATCTCAAGGGCACTAATGTCTCTGTGAAGGTGACTTCAAGGCTTTCTTGTCCTCCTGAGTGAGGGACGTGGCTGTGCTGGGCTGTTGGCAGCTGCCTGGGTCAGTAGTGCCACTGGTGCTGCCTGTGGGGCGTGGGCAGGAGGGGATGTGCAGCATGCAATAGGAAGCTGCAGAGTTGGAAGAGCAACGTGGGCTCTTGTGCCTGGTGGGTTTCTCCCAGCTGGGCTGTGTGGTGCCCCTGGGTGAGCACTCCTGTGTGCATCCCAGTGCCACCTTGCTGTCATCCTGCTGTCCCAGTGTAGGGAAGGAGCTTTATCGTGGGCTGTGCTCTGATGCATCTCTCTCCTGCAGGGCTCTCAGCAGGCCAGCCCAGTGCTATGCGGGTCTCCCTGAAGCGCTCCCTCACGGCTGTGTTTGCAGCCTCCTTCTTCCTCCTCCTCCTCCTCCTCCTCCTGCACAGGGGCAGCTGGCAGCAGCAGGATTTCCAGAAGGTGAGTCCTGTGCTGGAGGAGTCCCCACTCCTCTGCCCTATATGGGCGCCAAACCCCAGCCCGGCTCCCTTCCTGCCCCACTGGGACTCCAACCTCTTGTTCTCCTGCCTTCCTTGCCCCACATCATCCCCAAACTCCAGCTCTGCCTTCTCCCTTCCCTTTGGGCTCCTCCAGTCCAGGATCTGGGGAGGCCTTTGGCCTCTTGGCTTACACGTGTCCAAGACCCCAGGTTCTGACCAGTCCACCTTTCGCTGCCATCCAGGTGGAGTTTAGGAATCTACCTTCAGATACGGTCCTGAAGACACTGAAGCAAGGAGCCCTGCACATCCACCAGGACACAGACAGCCTCTCTGCACTCAACAACATCACCTACCACCTCCTTGTTGGTTCCCCATCACCCCACAAAAGTGAGTGCCTCACTGTTTTGGGCTGGGCTCTGGGAGCTGCATCTCTCACCTATCGTGGATCTCCCCATCACTGTCACTGTTGGGTGCTCTCCCCCCTAACCAGCCTTCTCTGCTCTGTCCCCTTGGGGTGTGGGGTGACCACAGCCATTTTGGATTTCCCAGATTTCTGGACGAGATCCATCTGCCTGGGGGTGGTTTTCCTGCTTTCCCAGTGGGGAGGAGGATCTTCTGACTTTGGATGTGGGGCCATAAATAGCATTAACTGTGCAGGTTGGCCACGGGGAGAGCTTTTTGAAGACCCCTTCCACATGGGAGAATGTCACTGTGGAGCATCAGTACTCAGGCTGTGAATGCCTTTCCTTTGCCTTGCAGAGTTCTTAGCTGTAGGACTGTCATCAGTGCGACGACCGCGTGGATATTACCTCCCAGACACGCTGCAGTCCCTCTTCAAGCAGTCATCAGAAGAGGAGCTGCAGGAGATGGTGGTGGTGGTGCACCTGGCCGATGCAGACCCCAGTTGGAACGCCCAGGTGGCCGCTGACATCAGCCAAAGGTTCGCTCACCACATCCTCCTGGGCCGGCTCGTGCTTATCCACGCTCCCCATGAGTTTTACCCGACCCTGGAAGGCCTCAAGAGAAACTACAACGACCCAGAGGCGCGGGTGAAGTTCAGGTCCAAGCAGAATGTGGATTATGCCTACCTCGTCACCTTTGCTGCCAACCTCTCCTCCTACTACTTGATGATTGAGGATGACGTGTTGTCTGCCAAGTCCTTCTTCACCGCCATCCGCAAAGCCGTGGCCTCCCAAGAAGGCTCCAACTGGGCCACCCTTGAGTTCTCCAAGCTGGGCTACATCGGTAAGCTTTACCGTTCCAGTGACCTTCCTCGCTTGGCTTGCTTCCTCCTCCTCTTCTACCAGGAGATGCCCTGTGACTGGCTGCTGGACCACTTCCGCCTCCTGCTTACTCAGAAGGATGTGATCCGCTTCAAGCCCTCCCTCTTCCAACATATGGGCCTCTACTCCTCCTTCCAAGGTAACATCAACCGACTGGAGGATGACGAGTTCAAGGCTGATGGCATGGACCTTCCGGACAACCCACCAGCAGCCGTGTTCACCAGCATGCTTGTCTTTGAGAACTATGAGCCCTCCAAGGCTTATAGCACAGCAAAGGGATATTTCTGGGGGAAAAACCCAGCAGCTGGCAGCATCTTCTGCGTTGTCTTCCACCAACCAGCCCGTGTAACCCGTGTCCGGGTGCAGACGGGCTCCAGTGAGCGCCATGGGGACTTCCTGCGTGCAGGGGTTCTGGAGCTGGGTCAGAGGCGGCGGGCTGATGGCCGGGACTGCTCAGTGTACACCACTGTGGGCACCTTTGAGAAAGGGAACTTAGAGCGGTGGGAGCTGGAGAAGGGAGCACCCAACCCTGTGGAGTGTGTGAGGATCCGGGTCACCCAGAGCCAGAGCGAGTGGCTCATCATCCAGAGCATCGACATCTGGACTGCAGACACCTGACCAGGGCTGTGATGGGTCACCACGGTGGTTGGATTTTGCTCTAAGAAGAGGTTTATTTTTCTCAGTCCTTTTTTTGATGGAGAATTAAATTATTCAGTCAAGCTGGTCCTACCTGCTGAATGTAGAGGGGTGGCAGGGCAATTGTGGGGTCTGCTTCCTGCAGGAAAATGGACAGGGTTGGCTATAGGGCCCGCTGTGCTGCAGCAGCCTGGGGGATGTTGCAGAGAGCAGTGCCCAGCCCTACAGCTCATCAGTATGGGGAGAGCGGGGTCCTGCTTCCTTTGTCCCTGGTGCCCTTCTTGGTGCTTCCCTAGGCCCTGACTCAGCTAATTAACAGCAGTGAGTCTATTAGCCAGGTGACAGCATTTTTTGCAACTTCTCGACACCACCCCATCCTCAGTTGTCTAACCCTTACCTTCTGATTTTCTATCACACAGCTGTTATCCTCTTATCCTGTTTTCAAGCTGTTTCTGCAAGTCTCCTGAGCAGCACCCCATGCGGGAAGCCGGGGGTCCAGGCACTGGCTGCAGGAGCCACTGCTATTGCTGATTTCTGTGCTGCTGGGAGGGGCAGCGGCCACCAGATGGACCCACAGCACCGGCTCAGCCCTTGCAGGGCAGCCGGGGCAGCTCTCGCGTTCAGACCCAGCAGGGAGATTTCTGGGTACGTTTCAGGCCAGCAAGGTGCTGAACGCTCAGCTCCAGGCCCTGCAGCAACCACCTGCCACTCAGTGCTGCAGGGACATGGCGTTACCCTGAAAAAAGTCAGCCACATAGAAGGTCTTTGTCTGCCTTTAATACAAAGATGCTACATGATAAATTCCAGCACCTTCCTGATGTTCTAAGAGTTCCAGCCAAAGCACAGTCAGAGATCTTGGGAATTTTGAGGAACGCAAAGGTGACCTTCCTAGGGCTAGGGCTTCCCAGACCATAGAATGACTTGGGTTAAAAGATACCTTAAAGATCATCTAGTTCCAGCTCCAAAAAAGAAAGACCTTTATCCATTGAATAGCTCAGCCTTCAAACCCATATCTCTCCAATTCAGAGATAAGGTGTGCTCCAGTAAAGTCACTGCCCCACTTCTCTTGGACACAATGCCTTTCATGCACTGTGTGAATGTCAAGGGTTACAAGCAGGGTTACAATCCAAAAGCTTTCTCCCCAGTGTATTTTTATCTGCTGCTGAAGGAGGTAAACAGAGATAGAAACATAAATCAGCATACCTGTTCTTTTACTTGTTAATCTACTAATCAGTTCTGTGCAGCTCTCCTGCACAGAAACAAACTGCAGTCTCTGTTATGCTGGTGTAAATCTGGAGAAACTCCATTGAATAACATGGACATCCACTCAGGTTACACCAGAGTAAGTGCAAGCAGCAGCTGACCAGCAGCAGGGATCCCACATGCAGTGCATGTGTCTCGTGTTTTGGAACTCCCAATTAACATCAGTGCAAACTGGAGATGGAAGTGGCTTCTTCATCCTGGAGCAGCACCATATAATTTATCCTACAAAAATGATCCCATTATTTTTATCCCACTAAACTCCACACCAAGACTCTCTCACACAGGGCTGATGGAGATGTCAGCCCCAGCAAGCAGTGTCTGTGGCATCGTGCTGGAGGCACAGTGCCCTGGAGCTGCAGCCCCCACTGACCCACACACTGGGTGGCAGAGCTGTGTACGGCCGTTTACATGCAGCCAGGGGCCAGCAGTCAGTGCAGATCTCAGCCTATGGGCTGATGTACAGGGCAAGGGGACAAAAACCAGGGACAAGCACTCTGGCCTGCCCCTCTCTACAAAAGGGTAAATCGGAGAGGGTTAGAGCTTTCAGGCCAACACCATGGCTGTCCTGAAGGATGGCTTGCTGTCCGTCTCTACCTGCTGAGCTACCCGGGGTCTTGGTGCTGCAGTGCTGCTCCTCTAGCTCAGCATCTTGTGGCGGTCAAAAACTGTCTTCCTCTGCTCCTGCACCTGGCGCTTCCAGCGCTGCTGGGCTCCCTCCACCCTCTCCAGCACTGTGTTGGCTCTGGCCCCTGACGGGGTTGGGGCTGCAGCCAAGGAGTGAGAGTCCTGTAAAGAAACAGTGGACAAGGTGAAAGCAAGGCACGCTCGACCCAAACACAGAGGGAACGAGTGTGAGGTCACACTGCTCCCCTGTCAGCTGTTCTCTTCTGTCCTCACTGCCCTGTCCCCACCACAACAGCAGTCACCCATCTGCACAGCCTCACCTCGTTCTCCTCCTCATTGTGCAGGGGCTGTGTGTAAGCATCTGGTTTTCGGATCAGAGGGTCCACCAGCACAAGGAAAGCCATGTAGAGCAGCAGTGCCCCCACCACAGACAAATAAATGATGATAATGACCTGCAGTTAAGCACAGCGCAGCAGAAAGGGATTGTCAGTAGAGATAAGAAGTACCACAGAGGCCAGGAAGCTCCCTTCACAGATATTTCTGATGTCTTATCTCTTCCCTCATTCAATGCTCACTAGGAAGTTTCTTGAATTTCTTAATGAAGACTGGTCTTCTCTGCAGCATCAGATGAAACTTGTGCTGCACATGGCAGGAAACCAACAGGATGGGTGCCCAGCATGAGATACTTCGGCACAATCTCAGCAAGGAGACAGGTCTCCCATGGTGCCTCCTCCTCAGTGCCAGGAGTGCCCCAGACTCCAACACGGCGCTCTGGTACTACCACCGTGTGCTAGCTGTGCTAGCTTTGTCTTCCCTTTCTGGGCTCTGCTCCAGGAGCCCACCCCGTCAAGCTGTGCTGGGATGGCACAGAGCCACAGAGAGCTGACCCACAATTACCTTGATGGTGGTGGTGCTGCGCTCCTCGTACTTGCACTCACACAGCAGGCAATACGCCTCCACATCGTTCCCAGGCACTGGCATGGGCTCCACAACATGCAGGCAGTTGCTGCAATGCAAAGAAACCAAAATCAGCAACAGGATGAGGAGAAACCAGTGCTCTGTGGAAGGATGCTGTGGTGACTTTGCCCCAGTTTTCCCACTGGGCTGATAATGCTGACTGGGGTTCCCACCACAGCTTAGCTAGCCTGAAGTTCCTGGGACAGACTTGCTGAAGCACCTTCTGCAGGTGAAGGGACCAAAGAGCATAACCTACATCTGCTGAGAAGAAAACACCCCTCACCTGGGCTGAGCCTACAGAAACAGTTTGCTTTACACACTCACAGGCAGCAAGTTGCTGACTTCCACAGATCAACCCCTCCGTCTTCAACATGCAACTCACCAGTCCTTCTGTGACACGTTCTTGTTGTAAATGTGCCCGCTGATGTTCCGGTACGGGGGACAGATGCATTTGCAGCGGATGTCCGCTGAGCTCTGCAGGAACACGAGGGGACAAGCATCAGTGAGCCAACACGTGGGTGCAGCTCTGCTGCCCTCACACACAGGGCTGTGGGAGCAGAACGTTCTCTAAGAGAGAGATGACTTCATGCCACGTCTCTCGCTTCTCCTCTCCAAGGCCCTCTTCAGATGTAATGCAAACCACAACCAAAGTCAGGGCAGAGGCCTCCATCACACACATTCGCAGCCCTTCACATTACAGATACTGCTGCAATTTGCCTCTGCAAATCTCCCGTGGGAGAACAGTTGCTTCTGTGCCATTTTGGTGCCCGCTGTGCCACGCTCGCTGCCTGACGCTGCTCACTCACCTTGCCAGCCCGTGCCGGAGGAGAAAGGCCGCAGCTCAGCAGCGCGATCAGCAGCGCGGATCCCGCACACCTCCGAGAGCAGCGGGCAAACATTGCGGAGCCCTGAGGAAACAGAAATTCCCGTACAGGACAGAGAATCTCCCACTTAAGCTCATTTCCCCCAGGAAATTCAAGTTTCTCCCCGTCTCCAGATGCATCCCAACGTGAAATCGTGGAAGCGCAGCTCGCACACCCCAAAATATCCCTGTCCACAGCGCTTCTGCCATTCACTCATCGTTCACCGAGCCCTGAATCCGCGCACCGCCGCTCGCACGCCGCCAGCACCGCACCGCGTCCACGGAGCGCGGCTCAAATCACCGCAGAGCAGCGGTGCACCAATCCAACGCACCGCGAGCTCCGTTCGCACACGCATCGACCCCACAGCTCTCCCGACCTCCAACCCCCCCCCCCCCCCCCCCCCCCCCCCCCCCCCCCCCCCCCCCGCTCCTCACACCCAGCCCCGCTCCGCTCACCCAGGCCGCGGCCGCTCCCCGCTCCGACCACCGCCCCCCCCGCCCGCCGCTCCCGGCCCCACCTGCCGCGCGACGCCGGCGCCCCTGCGAGCCCCGCCCCGGCCCTGAGCGCCCATTGGTTGCAGCGTGACAGGCAGAGCGTCCGGCCAATCGGAAAGCAGAGCGGCCCGCCGCGCTTTGATGAGAAGGGCCGCGCCTCGCTGCTGCCCCTCAGTGTGAGGGAGGTGCGGCGCGGTGCGCGGCGGGGCGGTCCGTTTGCTGTGTTGAGTCGGAGTGGGAAAAGCTCCGTTACAGCGGGGCATAGCAGCTTGGCTCGGGCTGTTTTACCTTGATGAGTCACGGTTAGCATCCTCTAGCTCGGAGGGTGCGGGTCAGCAGCGTGCTGTGTTAGCAGCCTCAGTGCTGTGCTTCCCAGAGCCGCGTCCTGGTGTTCAGAGGGGACGTTCTGTGGGCCTGGCGATGCAGAGGATGCGGCCCTCTGAGCTGTGTGGGCCTTGGGGTTTGCTGTTTGAGAATGGAAATCTGGAGCCCACGGTGAGATAACGTTCAACTGGAAGTGTGCATAAATGAGGGGATGAGGTGCGAGGTGAGGCAGCCGGGGGGAGGTTTGTAGAACATGCAGGTTGTGGAGGCTCAGTTCTGTGTTGCACCCAGGTGTGGGAATTCCTGATGTAAGGCTGTTTTCTCACCCAGCTGCCGTGTGTGAGGTGCTCCCCCACATGCTGTATTCCCCACACATCAGTTGGAGTCCATTACGGGGTCACAGCCTGCTGCAGCTGGGCTGACCCAAGGAAATGTTCCATGTGGATAATCCTGGCTATTAGGTGCACAGGAGACTTCTAATTCCTTCCTCCTACTCCAGTGCTGCCCGGCGGAAGCGCTGCTGTGGTGCTAACTGGCTGCTCTCGCTTCTGAGCACGACCTCAGCCCTGGCTGTGGGATGCTTCCAATGTTGTGAAATTGTTGAGTTTTTACAGGTTTAAAGGCCAGATGACCACAGGGCTTTTATGTTAGCAACTTGCCCAGCACAGCTGGTAAGGAGGTATTTTTATCTGCTCTGACATCTCTGTTGTCACAGTAATCTATCCTTCTTTGTTTTTTTCTGCAGCATAACTATATATATCAGTGCTTCTTGTGGGACTGGAGTAAGCTGGATATGTGCTTGAAGGACACAGCTTCACCTAGTGACAAGATGCTGAGCAATCCTCCTGGAGTGAGTAAAGAAATGACCCAGGCACTGAGACGCTGTGTGCAGGGGTCAGTTTTCCAGGTGAGTACCTCAAAGACAAGTCTGCCAAATACACAACAAGTTTGGAAGCTTCCAGTCCCTCTTTTTGAAGGCTGGTTACCTTCGTGTGTGTGAACTTGTATTCTGTAGTGCAGGGGAGATGCTTTATTTGTAGTGATGGGAGGGACCACGAAGCACATCCAGGAGATCACTTTCTGTTCCTTTCCTTGCTGGCTTTTTCCTTGCAGCCTTAGTGTCTGTCCCACATACCTCAGACAGTGGGCTCAGTTATTTTCTGAGTTCCAGCCTTGTCCTGTACCTATGAGTAAGAACTATACAGGTCTACCAGGTGTAGTCATGTTTCCTGAATTTTTCAGTATACTGAATGCAGGACAATGGTGTGTCCTGGACCCTTAGAGATCTTGCTTGGAATTCTGAGTAGTTTGGGTTGATGTTAGCCACTGAAACCAGCCTTCAGAGATCTGTGACTTCTACAGCGCTCTGGCAAGAGGCTTCACTGTAACTGGGAGAAGAATGTAGGATGAGCAATCATCTTGTAGGGCTGTGAATTCTGAATTGCTGCCCACAAAACCAGAGGCAGAAGACAGGTGAGAGAGGTGTAAACCTTTTTCCGAGATAAAGATGGGATCACATCAGGTTCTTGATATCTAAAGGGCAATTTAAATTAGATTATAAACACACAGATTGGCTTGTGAATATCCTGGAGGTGTGACCTACTGTAACAAAAAGCATCCTGTAATTCAGAGAGAAGACACTTTGTCTTCAGTCAAATGATTGCATCTTTGTGTTAAGCACAAAATGAAATTTGCTCTCAAAATGCTGTCATAATTGTACACTGATAAAAGAGGATGCAAGTCTGTTCAGGCACTGAGCCAGCTTCATTGAGCTCTCTTTCTATCTCTGGATGGTTTGTTAGACTGAGGAGTAGCAATTCGTTTTTCTTTTTGCTTTCAACTCCCTTGCAACTCAAAGGAAGTGGATTTTGGTGATGTGCCTCAGTTCTCTCAATCAAATAGTACACAGTTGTGCTCCAGGGTTTCTGTGAGGATGACTGAAGAAGTCCTTGTGAGGGTCATAAGAACTTCTTGTGAATGTGTTCTGAGAGCTCAGTGTGAAAGTCCTGATGACCTTAAAACCATATGTAGAAACCTCTTGAACTTCTGATGAGCATCTGCTAATGAACAAATATTGTCAATCACAGGCAGGAGCAGCTGGTCTGTGCGTAGGGGTTGTCAGAAGATGTGGCTTTCCCAGCATGCAGGACTCTGATAGCCCAGGAGATATGGTGTCAGTACACGTCCTTCAGTCATGCACAGACAGGCTGGTACTGTGAAGGTCCCTCTGTCAGGCATGGCCTCCCATGGGATGGGCACAGGGCAGTGAGCAGCCATTCCTGTAACAGCTGTGAAAGGATAAATGTGGAGCATGAAATTTAGTATTGGTCTTGTGGTTCACAGCTGCAGAGCAAGTGCTTGCTTGCACCTTGAAGTGTGACAGTGAGGAGACCTGTAGCATCAGCAGCAGAGTTTCTTTTGCACAGCAAGGGAGGAGCAACTCTGGTATGGCTTGTGTCCTGAATTTGGACTCATGCTTTTCCTCCTTGGTTGCTTTTAACCGTTTCATAGGCTGCCTCTGCCCATAGGTGGGAAAACATTTGTGTGTAAAGGTACCTGTGAGCAGTCAGTGACAACCTTGTTGCTATCCTCCCTTTTTCCCATCACACAGAATAGTGGGAAATGAACAAAATCAGGCTGTGTGATAGATAATGGAGCAATTGTAGCATCCTCTGATCCTTTGCTGTCTGGGTGCCCTCCACCCATCACTGCACTGTGCAGGCTTCCTTGCAAGATCACTTGTGACTTGGCAGGGGATAGAAGTGAAGTACTGCAGTTGGCAATCTTTTCTGTGTTGCCTGTATTGTTTAACTAACTCAGTTTCCTTTTACAACAAGGTTATCTGACCCCTTGTCTAAGGGAAGCCAGTACAGGTAATCTCTTTGGTGTCAGCAAAGGTTTCGATACAGTTTCTCATGATATCCTTTCAGGCGAAATGTCCAGCATGCAGCTGGACAAAGACATACTGAACAACTGGCTGACAAGTTGGGCTCAAAGGATTGTAGTAAATGGGGTTCTGTCAAGCTAGCAGGCACTAGTGGGACTCTGCAGGGCTCCATTCAGGGGCCAGTCCAGTATTGTTATAGATGTTGTATATGCAGAAGTTGAATTAATGCTAAATAAGTTTGCAGATGATACTAAATTGGGAGAAGGTGTTGACTCCCGTGAAGCTGGATGTAGACCTGACAAAAACTACAGAGACAGCAGTTTGTTACCAGCTGAAGAGGGCTAGCTCAATGTATGATCAATTGTAGGGACATATTACAGTTACATTATGTCACTGCCAGTCAGCCCAGCTGTGCTGAAGTCAACCCAAACTGCTGGAGCTCCAGCTGCTCTTTTGGGGACTCCTGTCCGTGAGGGATTTCCTATGGTGTGGGATTTCCTTGGACGTGACTCTTTGAGGGCAGACTTGCTCCCCGTGAGCCCAGTGACACTTTTGTTAGAAAATAGTCCATCCTGTCCAGATTAATATTTTTGTTGCTAATTTTGGAGGTAATAAGACACCACCGTGGCAGGCATTGCTCTCCTCGTGTGTGTAGGTTGTATTAAAAATAGACTTTTAAAAAGGGCCCAAGAAATTATTTTTTAAATGGCCCTGGATGTTTGTCAAGAGGGCTCTACGCTGCTTCTCCCCCAGCGTTCCTCTTTCTCAGGAGTGCTGCTTCCTCTGTGCCATTTGGGTTTGCCTTGTTTGCTGCCATAGATATTATTTCTTATATTGTGTTTCACCTTTCCATGTCCCACTGAACAGGACAATTCCTTTGCCAGTCTCAGCAGGACAGGAGGGGATAATGTTGCTAACAGATTGGAGAGCAGGTTGTTCCATAGCTGTCAAGGAGCCATGGAGTGCTTCTTCCCTTGGAAAGGAGGACCTGGTGTCATGGCAATGCTAAATCACAGTTTGAAGCAGTGATTGAACACCTATGGACACATGAGTGAGCTGCACAGCTGGGACCTGCAAAACATGGATGCTTGGATGTCACAATTCAAGGATGTAAAGCTATTAGAAGGCATCCAAAGGAGAGCTGTGAAGTTGGTGAGGGGTCTGGGGAGGGCAAAGTGTATGGTGTGGGATCTGTGTGGGAGCTTGCTGGAAGTGCTGGAGTTCAGATGAGATAGGAGAGATGGAGAAACGTCAGTCTGCTATGGAGAGGGCTCTGGACTGATCAGTGACCTCCAGGCTGCCCCAGCCTTGCAGGCCCAGACCCTTGACTTCCTACTGATGTGTCTTCCTAGAACTTGCTCCCTCCAAAGGTCTGCCTCAGCCTAGCAGGTTTCTGCTTGGTGGCAATGCAGATCCCATTTCTTTCCCAGTTGGCCCTATTTATAGATTCCAAATGATGGCAGCTGGGAAAAGTGAGACATGTGAAGTATGATGGACTCTCACCAATAAGGGAGGGTATTTATTGGAGCTGAAGCCTTGTTGTCATTGCACACCATGAGGAACTCTGCACATGTGTTGGGGGTTGTCATTTCCAGGACATTGGGCCTGTCATTCAGTACAGAGCAAACAAAACATTGTTAGAATGGAAGGAGGGATTTCTGTCTGAATAAATTATACCCAGTTATCACCACCTAGATAGCAGTCAACGCCAGGAAGTTTCTCCTGAGGGCTAAGATAACATCTCTCCCTTCATGTTTTGTTAGCAGTCTGATCTCCCAGAGCAGTATCATTTGCCTTTCCTGCACACACAGGACAAGCTGAGGGAAAGCCAACTCAGCCACATCTCCCAAGTGATTTAAAACCTGT